AGACTGTGCTAGAGCGTGAGGACTGTTTTGCCAAGACGCTCACCACTACCTGGCTATCAAACCAAAAGCAGATCCAATGGTCACTGAACTCCTCGGGCCACATGTGAACTGCTATCACAATGGGGAAAACTCAAGAAAAGTTATGTCACATGATTGCCTCACCACACGGGCTTGAGGCCATAGCTTTGCACACCAGCAGCCCTTGAAATAAAAACCAAAGGGCAAAGATCCAGCAGCACCAGCATGAACCTGGAAATCCCTGTGCAGGTTCAAGGTATCCTGCCATGGCGAACTATTATTGCATACATTCAGGAATTGCTACTATCGCCTGATATCTGCCTTCACCACACTTGGTAGGCGTACACAAAGGTAAGGGGACCTCAGGCCGCAGGCAGCCTGGCCTAGTGAGAAGATTAATTAAGTGACCCAGCAAGATCGGATCTGATGAAGCATCACTTGCTACAGAGGAAGTATTACAAAATAACTTCCTTCAAGGCAGACAGCTTCTGCATAGGCAAGTGGTATTTTTTAGCAACGATATCCAACTGGATCCCTAAATAAAATGGGAATATGGGCAAAAGGTATTGAGCTATTGCTTGCCAGCTTCCAGCCCCCACTTGGGCAGGGGGCATCTTGTGCTGCCATCATGATATGTAAATTTACAGGGCCGACACTGGCCAGAACCCCTAAAGAAGTCCCGACAAAGCTGCCGCCGAGCCAGCTTCCTTTTCAGACACACACTCTGTGCAATGCAAAAACACACTCCGTGCAGTGCACACACTCTCCATGCACACTCTCCAGGCTAGCTTAAAATTTGGCCAACAGCGCTGCACACACTCAAAATAAGCAAACCTTCGGGGATACTATAAACGAAAGTGATTCTAGCTAAGCTGGGAACAGCCCTAACTAGCCCCACAATTTCAACAAGAGGAATGGGGAAAACCTTTTTGCGAAAGAAAGCCCCTAACGGGGGCTCTCTCCCTATTGGGAAAGGCAAGCTATAGATACAGGGAGAATCTTCCCACAGGGCAGGGTAAGGGGTGGGGTGAGAAATTGAACAGGAAAAGGGGGAATTAAATTATTTAAGGGACTAGAGAGGATTAAAAAGAAAGGGGAAATACAGAAATAAAGAAATGTAACCAGACAATGAGAAGATTGTCCAAGTGCTCCATGTGATCCGGTGCAAAATGGCCAAGAGGATGTCCAACGTCTGGCCCCTGTATTTAAAGACTCTGACCCCTCCTCCAAATTGGCAACAATCAAAACTCCCCAGCAACCCAAATTTAACCACTTAAAGGCTTGGGTTCCTTACCAAATTTGCCTAGTCACTGCAGGGTGGCTTGTTCCCCCAACCGCAACACGTGCTCTCTGTTAGGGAGAACACGCTATATCAACAGGGTTCAAATAACTGGCACTAACTAACTGGCAAATAAAAGCAAGTCACTTCCTCCTTTTGTCACTGTGCTTAGTGTTGAACAAGGTGATTTTGTTGCTGTTTGTTCTTGGGAAACCACTCCCCACTCACTCACACCCATGGGTGTAGTCAGAGGGGAGTAAAGGGCAAGGAAATAAATAAAAATACTTAACTAAATGTAGAAAGATTTTGACAGATTTTTCTGAGCACCTGGGGTCAAAAGAAAGTAATTTTTAAAAACCCAATCCTGGGCAGAGCCAGATGGAGGACAATGACAGGTGGGTGTCTTGCCCCAACAACATATATTCTGGCTACACCGATCCTCACGCCATCTGTTCGTTCTCTCACATGCACAACAATTACCTATCCGTGCTTTCGTTTTCTCTTTCTCACACACCTCATCTTCCTATTCATATTTATACACAAGCTGGGGAGGAGAATGCTGAAGAAGGGAGGCTGAAGGCTGTATGGACCAATGGTCTGTTGTGATTTGGGCTGCTTTCTATATTCCTGTTCGGTTAGTGGAGATTGGTGTACTAAAAGATGGGCCACAGCCATGAAGAACACTCATTTGCCATTTGCTACATGCACAAGTCTGTTCCCCACATATTGGCTCTTGCCTGCATCAGACACGCAATGCATGCAGGGAAGAACTGGCTGAGCATGCCTGGTAGGGATTGCTTTCCTTTTAATCCTTCACTGATAAGGCTGTGTACGTACTTCTGTTTACTCTGCACCCAGTGCGCTCACAGCACTGGTGTGGACAGACAGCAGGTGACTTGGAGGCACATCCAACCATACTGCGGTTTCCGTACGGCGTTTCTGTGCGCTCTGGCTTCAGTCATGGTATCCCGTTGCGCCAGAAGCAGTTTAGTCAGGCTGGCCACATGACCCGGAAATCTGTCTGTGGAAAAATGCCGGCTCCCTTGGCCTGAAAGCAAGATGAGCGCTGCAACCCCATAGTCACCTTTGACTGGACTTAACCCTGCAGGGGTCCTTTACCTTTTTACCTTACTGAAGTGTACAATAATATGAAAATGTGATTGGAAATGCAGTGGGTGAGGGGGAACACAGCCTTGCTGCCTTTTGAGCTGGTAATCCAAACATCGCCAAAGAACCTCTCCTTGCAAAGAGAGGAGGAGGGTGTAATAAACAAAAATCTGCCCTTATTCCCTTATGGGGAACACAAGAGCCCTTATAGAGTCCTTTGTAGGTTCTCCATCAGCCGGAGAAAATAACAGAGGCACAACCAGAGAATACTGAGAAGCAAAGCAGCTTGTAAGCTTGATCTTTATTGAAATGTTGCAACAGGGTGCTCCCCTCACAAGCAGGAAAGGAGGAGGACCCTGAACAAAGGTGTGCCTGCCCTTATATAGACATTTTAAATTGCCTGCCCTGAAGTCCAAAACCACCCCCTGAAACATCGTACATACATCACAGAAGGGGTGTAGCTCAAGACCACCCCCCAGATACATCATACCTACATCACAGAAAGGGTGGCCTACAACAGAAATCTGAGTGTGTTGTTTATCTCCTGTCTGGCAGACCTGTTAATGGTCATTTGATTGGATACCCTGGGGAGCCTGACCAGTCTTTTGTAATGACAAATACTTAGTTCCTGAGCCAGGTCACAGGCTCACCCTATTCGTACACAGCCATACCCGTAAGACAGGATTTGTGAACGAATGGGGAGGCTTTTCCATTTTCCTTCGACCTTGCAGAGAAATATTTGAGGTCAGTTTGGGAGGGACAAAATGGTTTCAGGACTTTTTCTGTGGGGTTTCAGACATGTGGTTTACCGTATTTTTTGCCCTATAAGACGCACTTTTTCCCCTCCAAAAATGAAGGGGAAATGTGTGTGCGTCTTATGGGGCGAATGCAGGCTTTCGCTGAAGCCTGGAGAGCGAGAGGTGTCGGTGCGCACCGACACCTCTCGCTCTCCAGGCTCCAGGAAGCTATCCGCAAGCATTGCACGCCGGGGGAACTCCCCCCCGGGCGCGCAAGGCTTGCGGGCGGCAGCCTGCAGCGCGGAGAACGGGGCGCCCTTCGGAGGACACCCCGTGCTTTACGCAGCTGTCCGCAAGCCTTGGGCGCCTGGGGGAACTCCCCCCGGGCGCGCAAGGCTTGCGGGCGGCAGCCTGCAGCGCGGGGCGCCCTTCGGAGGACGCCCCGTGCTTCGCGCAGCTGTCCGCAAGCCTTGCGCGCCGGGGAGAACTCCCCTGGCGCGCAAGGCTTGCGGGCGGCAGCCTGCAGCGCGGAGCGCGGGGCGCCCTTCGGAGGACGCCCCGTGCTTCGCGCAGCTGTCCGCAAGGCTTGGGCGCCTGGGGGAACTCCCCCCGGCGCGCAAGGCTTGCGGGCGGCAGCCTGCAGCGCGGAGCGCGGGGCGCCCTTTGGAGGACGCCCCGTGCTTCGCGCAGCTGTCCGCAAGCCTTGGGCGCCTGGGGGAACTCCCCCCGGCGCGCAAGGCTTGCGGGCGGCAGCCTGCAGCGCGGAGCGCGGGGCGTCCTTCGGAGGACGCCCCGTTCTTCGCGCAGCTGTCCGCAAGCCTTGCGCGCCCAGGGGAACTCCCCCCCGGCGTGCACGGCTTGCGGGCGGCAGCCAGCAGCGCGGAGCACGGGGCGCCCTCCGTAGGAGGCTGCGGAGGGTGGCGCGGAGCTGCCCACGCTCCAGGGCTTCTTGCAGCTCCGCGCCACCCCCGGATCCCGGCGCGAAGCCGCGCGGGGCTCCAGAGGGTGGCGCGGAGCTACCTGGGCTCCAGGGCTTCCTGCAGCTCTGCGCCACCCTCTGGATCCTGGCACGAAGCCGCGCGGGGCTGCGGAGGGTGGCACGGAGCTGCCTGCGCTCCAGGGCTTCTTGCAGCTCCGCGCCACCCCCCGGATCCCGGCGCGAAGCCGCGCGGGGCTGCGGAGGGTGGCGCGGAGCTGCCTGCGCTCCAGGGCTTCCTGCAGCTCTGCACCACCCTCTGGATCCTGGCGCGAAGCCGCGCGGGGCTCCGGAAGGTGGTGCGGAGCTGCCTGCGTTCCAGGGCTTCTTGCAGCTCCGCGCCACCCCCCGGATCCCAGCGCGAAGCCGCACGGGGCTCCGGAGGGTAGCGCAGAGCTGCCTGCATCCCGAAGCCTGGTGCGCACTGAAGAGCGCCCCCGGGCTTCACGCACCTCTCCGCAAGCCTGGGGAGACCAGTGTGGCTCCCTAGGCTTGCGGATATCAGGCTGTTCTGGGGGCTGGGGTCGGGGGAAGCTTGGGCTTCCCCCGCGCCTGCCCCGTGCCTGGGGAGGGGAAAAATTTTTTTTTTCTTTATTCTCCCCCCAAAAAATTAGGTGCGTCTTATGGGGCGGTGCGTCCTATGGGGCGAAAAATACGGTATATATGCAGTTATGACCATTTCTCTCTCTCTCTCTCTCTCTCTCTCTCTCTCTCACACACACACACACACACACACACGTAGTATGTAGCCTCTTTAAGATGGAACAAGGGCTAAGCAGCTGTCATTAAAGGTCAGAGAAGTAGTTAATAGCTGATTGATAACAAGGAAATGTGTGGAGCATAAGCTCCCCAGTAAAGCAGGAGAGGGTGCCTGCTACAACACTGTATGCCTTCATAGCGGCCCGACCTGAAAACCGTCATTGGCATTTTCTGTGCCACAGTGATCATTGTCCTTTGGGCACTATGCATTTGGCAGCTCCCTATCAGGTTTGCATCAGGTAAATAAAGTACTCTCTGTAAGTTTCAATCTAGCTACCTGATTTAAGATAAGAATTGTGAGCTCGTAGCTAGTAGTAAAAGGTAAAGGTAAAGGTACCCCTGCCCATACAGGCCAGTCGTGACCGACTCTAGGGTTGTGCGTGCATCTCACTCAAGAGGCCGGGAGCCGGCGTCGTCCGAAGACACTTCCGGGTCACGTGGCCAGCGTGACGAAGCTGCACTGGTGAGCCAGCACCAGTGCCGCACACGGAAACGCCGTTTACCTTCCCGCTATAAAGCGGTACCTATTTATCTAGTTGCATTTAGGGGTGCTTTTGAACTGCTAGGTGGGCAGGAGCTGGGACTGAACGACGGGAGCTCACCCCGCCGCGGGGATTCGAACCGCGACCTTATGATCAGCAAGTCCTAGGCACTGAGGTTTTACCCACAGCTCCACCCGTGTCCCCATAGCTAGTAGTACTGGCTGTTAAATCAGAAGTGTGTTGCGGAAGTGTTTTTTATTGTTATTTGAATTAACTTATGTATGTAACAGGATGTTCTACACAGTGTGCTGGCTAGCTTGGATGGATTTAATTTATCTGATCAACAGATGGATCCTAACTATGTTTCTTTGGAAGTGTGCCCTGCAGTGTTCCACAGAGCCTATGAATTATTGTTGTGAGTTGGCGGGTTGTGGGTGTGTGGGTTAGGCTGCGTGAGGCTCGAGTCCCTTCTAATTCCTGGATCAAGCAAGGGTTAACATCTAATGGACGATTCCATTGTTGAATTAGCCAGGCAAGGGCCATAGTTACTGCCTAAGTACAGTCTTTAGTCTAACAGAGGAAGCTGCTCTGTGCCAGAGGGCAGATGGGTGTCCCCCTCTCTTACCTGGATGGCGCTGAGAAAGGTAAATCCAGAGTTGTGTGAGAGAGCTGGGCTAGAAGCAGGCAGAAATGAGAGAAACAGAGCCATGCTTGACTTCTGCTTGAAGGCAAGGCTGTAACTATGGGAGAAGCAAGACCTTCTTGACAGGGTATTAATGCTGTGAGCCCTTCCACCGCTGGCTCAGGTTGTATATATGTGTAAATAAACCATATATCATAAAGACACCACAGTCTCTGCTGTCCCTTACTCCAAGAAAACCGAACCCTGGGTTAGTGCCTGGAACTGCTGCTGCTCAGAAGTTGGGGTGGCACAAAACGGTATGTTTAGGATGGCAGACTCAGCAATTTGCTTGTTAGAATGTCCATTTACTTCTTTTCAGCTAGTCTTAGGCTTTTATACAAGGTTAACTGTCTATGGCATCTGGAAGCATTACTGTATATGTTATTGTATCATGAGCTGCAACACTAGATCTGCAATACCTGAAAGACTGTCTCACCCTTTATATAGACATTCGATCACTGCACTCTGCCTGTGGGGATCTGATCTTATCAGGAGGCCTGTACCGCACAAAGCAGGAACTGAACCTTTGGTGTTGTAGCATATACTCTGTGGATTTCCCGCCTGTTAAATGTTAACAGGTGTCATGTCTGCTATCTTTCGACTTTCCTCTTCCAACAAGCCTTCTAAGCAGAGATCTTTCATTGTCTGCACCTGGAATGCAATTGATTCAAAGTTATGTTAAACATGGTTTTTCTTGTTTTGTCACTTGTTTGCTCCCCTGGGCTCCTTTGGGAGGAAGGGAGATAAAGTGAATGAATGGATATAACGTAATGCATACTTTGTTATGCATATTTGAACTGTGTTGTGTATATTTGATAGTTGCTAAAAAGTTTCTAATGGATGCTGTGCTATATTTTGGTGTTATCACATTAATGTGTTTTTATACTCACGTACATCATCTTGAGAATAATAATAATAATAATAATAATAATAATAATAATAATAATAATAATTATACCCCACCCATCTGGGCAGCTTCCAACAAAAGATTAAAAATACATTAAAACATCACTTATTAAAAACTTCCCTAATCAGGGCTGCCTTCAGATGTCTTCTAAATGTCAGATATCTGATGTTTACATCTGATGTCATCTAAACATCTGATGTCAAAGAAATAACTACTTATTGTAGTTGGTGACATATAAATATTTCTATAAACAGGTACAAAAATATCTGTAGTTTAACCCATGCATATACTTGAAAAACGCAACTGTACTAAATACAGAAGTATTAGGATATAACTATCCTTGAAATCCACATGACCCGGAAGTGTCCTAGGACGGCACCGGCTCCCGGCCTCTAGATGAGCGCACAACCCTAGAGTCGGACACGACTGGCCTTCGGGCAGGGGTACCTTTACCTTTATCCTTGAAATCTTATATTCTTACTGTTTCTGCCAAAAGTGATTGCAACCAGCCATGGCAACATTATAGTAGAATGAATACCAGTAGGAACATTGTGGCTGAATGTATTAAGATACAGAGCTGGATCTAGGAGAGCTGGAGTCAAGGGTGTTGCCAGTCCAGAGGACCTGAGCCTTAAGCTTTCTGTGATGTACCCCTGATCTCCTGCCTCTTCCTTCCTTGTAAAAAAAATTTATTACATTGATTACTGCACAACCAGGCACTCAGCAATTTGCCACAGGGCATACTATTTGTTCTACCTGGTGGTTAGAGTGTCAAAGTGGGTCCTGAGGGGAATAGGGGTTGTAGGCAGTGCTAGTCCTACTCGGGGTAGGCCAATTTAAATGAATTTATGTGCCTAAGGGCCATTCATTTCAATGGGTCTGCTCGGAGCAGAACTTCGTTGGATACAACCCTAGGGTTCAAATAGACACTCGTCCACAAAGCTCTCTGGGTGACCCAGAATCTCAGTCTAACCCACCTCAGAGGAGTTTTTGTGAAGATAAAATGAGGGAGAGGGACTACCATGTTTGTACGCCACCTTGAGCAACTTGGAGAAAAGGTGGGCTATAAATGTAAAAATATAAATAACTACATACATATGTAAATGCAACACAACAGGAATTCTGTACACACAGTGGGACTTCACATTCCTCTCTTCCTCCCAACCTCCTCCAAAAGTTGCCGCAAAGGTCTGGCAACCCCCTAGAGCAGATTATGAGGATGAGGAGAGGAGAGGAGGAGAAAGATCCACTGTGCAAGTGGAAGTCTGCTATATGAGCAGAACAGCAGCTTTGGACACATATATTTATGCACCTTTGTGTCCCAGCTCAGGCCTGGGCCCCTAGTTCTTTAAGTACCTAGCAACACCCCTGGCTCAGCTTATATTCAGTCTGTCTCATGGACTCATTCAGTGATTCTGTGGACATGTCTGTCTTTCAGCCTCTGTTCCCTGTTGGAAAAACAACCACATATGTCACATGACTGTTGCGCTGTCAGAGAAAGATGATAAAGTATTGACTACAATAGTTGCTATGGTGTATGAGAGGCATATTGCCCTTTGATCTTTTACAAGCGTTGAATCAACAGAGCTCTTGATCTGCTGATTATTATTTAACCATACTTAGGTGCATTTTAGAATAAGATCAGGCAACTTTCACCACATTACATTAGCAATGTTATGGTGTGGTGATGCAATGGTGGGACATTTTCGGTGGGGGGCTTATGTGGCATCCTTTTCTCATCACTGTGAGAGCAATAGCCTTGAGACATGGAATGCTCTTATTTCCTGCCATGCCTACAAGTATAATAAAGGATATATATCTTCGTACAATCCTTGCAAGAACTATTTTCTTTGTTTCATGTTTACATTTTCTTTGAACAGATACCACACCTCCAGCAGAACCTCCATGCTTTTGCCAAAACAACGGAATCTGTCCAGATCGCTTATGCCTTTGTCCAGAGGAATGGATAGGCTACCACTTTGAGATAGGTCAGTAAAGTCAGTCTACTCTTTCATCAGTTAATGCAGTTTTTGCATATTGGGAGCAAATGAGCAGAAGTTACTTGGTGCTGTTTAGCAAAAGGTCTTCTCTTACCACTGAACACTTGTGTTTGATGATACCAGGTATGTTATAAAGGGTGAATTTCTATTCCCATTTACCTGGGAATAAGCACAACTGAACTCAGTGGGACTTATTTCTGAGTAGACATGTATAGGAATGTGTTGTTTCATTGGATTCTGTATGATTGGTGCCATATTTAACTCTGGCTATGGTTCCTTCAACTGAAGTATTAGTAGGTACTTACAATCTGTGATGTGGGTGCACGCCATAGTGGTAGCTTCCACTGCATGTGTAGACACCAGTGGCCCAGTTTAAACATGATGCCTACCGTGTGCAACTCCACAAGACTGGAGGGCTGTAGCTCAATGGCAGAAGAAATGGTTTGCACACACGAGGTCACAGATTCAATCACTGACGTCTCCAGCTAGGACTGGAAAAGACTCCTGTCCGAAAGTCTGATGGAACACCTGCCAATCAGTGTAGGCAACCAATTGCCTGACTCAATATAAAGCAACTTCCTATGTGTGTTTATTTTGTTCCATACACCTCACATTACACGTGTCTCTTTTGGTTCTTTTCTTTTCTTTTTACAAAGTAATAATCATAAATATATAAGAATTAAAATGTGCACCCCACCACCGAGACCATTCCATTGTAAGTATCCAACCTCCCAAAATTTCAACACCTCTTACGATGGTTTGACCCCTTTCCATTTATTGACAGTTGCACAAATTATTATAGCTAGGAAGTGGAAGGGGCAAGCAGAATATAAAATCGAAGAATGGTATAAAAAGGTGTGGGATATAGCTATTATGGATAAATTAACATGTGCCATTAAAGTAAGATGGGGAATTTGCAGGAGAATGATTTTGAGGAGATATGGAGGGTGTTTGTAGAATTTGTACTGTTAAAATTTGTGAACCATTTGCTTCTTGCCATTGCTCATGACAGTATGATGCTTGGGAAAATTCATTTTCCAATGAGAGGGATGGTTAAACGGTGCACAGTTTAGCCTAGAATAGGAATAAATGGCCACAGCAGAAAAGCATTTCAAAATTGCATTAGAGAGCTTTTGTGTGTGTGCTACATTAGATGACCAAATTCCCATTTCCTTGTGTGTGCCTTTCTGGAAGTGATTTACTGTGAACTATCGTTAAATGAAATAATTGCAAATGAAATTGCTAATACATATCCTAGAAAATGTTATTCCTAGCAAGTGGTTTCTTTTTCCTGTAAATGAGGCAGGTGTTTGATGTAGTTTGTGGCTTTACAAATAGCTATAATTACTGGTGGGGTCTTGAACTTGCATCATCTACAAATGTGGATGAAGGGACTCTTGTTTCTCACGCAGGCTGTATTCTTCAAAGCACTTGCTCCAAAATAGTTCTGGAGTAGCCCCACTTGTTACAGCTAAGATAAGTACACAGGAAACTGGCTTATTAATGAAAAAGTCCATATAGTCCAGGATTGTCTTACTAGCACCATGTCCCCAGCAAGGGCCTTCAAGTGCTTTCCCCTGGCTAGGTAAAGGTAAAGGTACCCCTGCCTGTACAGGCCAGTCTTGACAGACTCTGGGGTTGTGTGCCCATCTCACTCAAGAGGCTGGGGGCCAGCGCTGTCCGGAGACACTTCCGGGTCACGGGGCCAGCGTGACATCGCTGCTCTGGCGAGCCAGAGCCGCACACGGAAACGCCGTTTACCTTCCCGCTAGTAAGCGGTCCCTATTTATCTACTTGCACCCGGGGGTGCTTTCGAACTGCTAGTTTGGCAGGTGCTGGGACCGAGAAATGGGAGCGCACCCCACCGCTGGGATTCGAACCGCCGACCTTCCGATCGGCAAGCCCTAGGCGCTGAGGCTTTTACCCACAGCGCCACCCGCGTCCCTTGCTTCCCCTGGCTAGAATGTGCCTTAACTCTGACAGAGCCTCTTCCTTGCCTGGATAAACATAGGTGGAATGCCACCTACTGTACAAACCTAAGAGTCATCTATTGGTCTCTGCCCATTTTTTGTCCCTTGTTCTGCCCACTTTTGCTTTTGACCCCACCCACCACTGGCATGTGGCCCCCAGAAGGTTACCCATGAGGGAACATGGTCCTCAGACCAAAAAGCTTACCCACCCCTGATTTCCAGTATCTCAAGGAAGCTTGAGCTCTGTAGTGCTCTTGAGAATGATGTTCCTGCAATTTGCTCCATCCCTGAGAGTGGCATAGCTAGCTGCTTGGGCACGTGGGGCTGTGCGTGTGCCTGGTGGGCGGGGTGAACCGTCCATGGGGTGGGGTGAGCCGTCCACAGGGTGGGGCAATCTGGGGCAGGGTGTGCTGTGCAGAGCTGGGGCTTGCATGGAGTCTGCTCTGCCCGCTGCCTGTGGGAATGTTCAGAGAGGCAGGAGAGGATATATTGTTTATTAATATCCTTCCTAACTTGCGCTATCAAGTTCCTTTACTTAGCTGAGTTTCACATTCCCCTATTAAACGCACAGCGGGTAGCTGGTTGTAGGCTTGTGTAAGCCTCTCACTATTAGGTTCCTGGTATGATCCCTTACAGTATATCCCTCTTAAAAGAATAAACATGCCACAATCTTGTGTAAAGTACAGTGGTACCTCGGGTTATATACACTTCAGGTTACAGACTCCGCTAACCCAGAAATAGTACCTCGGGTTAAGAACTTTGCTTCAGGATGAGAACAGAAATCGTGCTCTGGTGGTGCAGCAGCAGTAGCTAAGCACCCATTAGCTAAAGTGGTGCTTCAGATTAAGAACAGTTTCAGGTTAAGAATGGACCTTCGGAATGAATTAAGTACTTAACCCGAGGTACCACTGTATATAAAAGTAGTTTACTCACATTCTGTTCTTAGTTGGATCCCAGAAGGCAGATTTCGTTACAAAGCATATGCATGTGGAGCTATCCCATACAGTGGTACCTCTAGTTACGGACTTGATCTGTTCCAGGGTCCCATAGCACCCCGAAAAGTCCCTAACAAGAGAGCCAGCCTCTGTGCATGCACACAACGCAACAGAGCGCTTCTGCGCATGTGTGAAGCATGCATAATGCTTCTGTGCGCACACATGCAGCGAAACCTGGAAGTATATACTTCCGGGGTTTGCCGCGTTCGCAAGCCGAAAAGACGCAACATGAACCTAATGCAACACGAGGTATGACTGTATGGGGATAATCCCAGTGTCCTCTGTTGGCAGAGCATCTCTAGCTAAAAGCTGCTCCAACGAATGAGGAAGTCAAAGAGAGAGAGAGAGAGAGAGAGCGCCGCGTGCCTTGTCCTTTTTGTTACCTGGACAGGTAAGGTAATGTCCACCTCTAGTCACATGCAAAGGAAGAATGTCCCAGCCAGGAGGAAACAGGAAGCTTTCGACTGGCTGGACCAAACATTCCTCCGCATGTCCACTCTAGGAAAACAAGGAATGTTGTACTTGACTGCTACTTATGTATCACATCCCACACTGCCTCCCCCTCAGTTGCAGGCACTGTGCTGCCCGAAATTGCGGTGTGGGGTTCACGTCTGCCCACTGTCTCCCCCTCAGCTGCAGGGCGCTGCAGGCACTATGGTAAATTGCCACCCAGTGTACCCCTCCCCCCAAGCTACACCAGTGATCCCTGGTCTGAAGGAGACTGCCTTGGAATTCCTTAATGGGCAGGGGCATGAAGGTCACATGGCTCATCCATTGTGGGGGAGCGGACCTGGCCAAATTAGGACTGCTCCAAGTCCTGCTTGTTCCATTTCTTCTTCAGTGGTATGGTAGCCACAAGTATTGCAGGAGCAGAGCACTCCATGTTTTGAATTTTTATCTGACAAGTATAACTTTAATGTAAGAGTGAAGTTCTGAAAGGAATCCAGGTCCAGATCTGTGTGTCTCCCCCCGCCATGTTCTTGAAAATTGTTCTATATGATGAAAACACTTTTAACATGGAGATGTTTCCCCCCTGCCTTAACCTCTGTGACGCAAGTACTTACGTAGTCAACTCTTCTCAAGATATTCTAAGCTTTGAGATAATTATCGTTGGCAAAAATGGATATTCCAGGGGAAAGTGTGACAACAATACTGCGAATAGTATGTGTATGTTTTTCCTTCGTTCCTTTTCCTCCTCTGTTTCAGTAAAGTGAGTAATTAGACTTGTGGTCTCAAGCCAGCAGATAAAAGTCCCCAAGTGAATGCAGGGGCATTACAGTCTATTTGCCAGATGCAAATTGAACATGGGGTGGTCGGGTAGGCTGATGATTAAGTTTGAAGTGGATTTTTTTTAATGCACCATCTTTCACTCATCTTGATTAGAGTTTCACAGTAAGAAATGGGCACAATTGAAGCTTAGAGGTGGCTGGAAATTTTTTAATGCAATGCCCAGTTTTTTGCCATGCATGCAAAAATGATGAAATGTAAAATCAATGCCAGGGATAGGGAAATCCAGCCATCCAGATGTTTCTGAATTCCTAACACCCATCTTCCCAGAAGAGAGTCACAGGTTCTGCAGTCTGCTATATGTTCTATCTAGCAATATTACCTTTAAAAACTCTATCATATGGTAAACCTCCCCCCAAAACACAGCATGCTTATGTCATAATTATGTTACGATTCCTTTCAGCACTGGAAAATTAATGTATAGGATGAGAAGTACACTACAACCAACCTTAATGTTACAGGCTGTAAATATCTGTAGAATTACACAGTTACATAGCAGATCTGAGCAGTTTGCATAACCTCATAAATCACAGAATAGTTTTAAATAAAGAATGTCCTGAAACAATGAAGGGTTAGTTTGGGAAATGAGAATGGAATGAGAAATCCTTAACAGAACACTACCAACCCTTTCAGTATATACATTTCTCAGACAGACAAGACGATTAATACCATAGGAATGTTGTGAATACCTTACAGTTAAGTCAACCCTGCATGGAATATGGTACTTTAAATATTTTCCACAATATTTACAGGTGGTGTTCCTAACGCAACTCGCATGCACACTAGAAAAAATTGGAATACCTACTCTTGAACCTCCTAACTTGAATTGCAATGTGACCCTACTTGGCTTCTCTGAAAAGGCCAATATGAAAATCTCATATTGATTGGAAGTACTACTTTACTACTTGGGTACTACTTTAAAAAGGACAGCCATCGTCTGTTTGAAGGGATATCCAGTCCAAGTCTGGGGTAAGAAAAAGACGCAAAAGTGCTCTCTGTTAATGGACTGTTCAAAGTTTGAAACAGGCTTTAGTATATATTGGATGAAATCAGTTTAACCTGCTATGGACTTAAAATTCCCATTACTGAGGCTGCACTGCCATCTAGTGAATATTAAATAAACAAGCTGTTTAAAAGCTAGGCTTCTCATTTTTACTGAATTTTCTGCCAAATAAGAAGTATTGGGAGAAAAAACGAGGAATAAAATTGCACAGGGCTTTGTACATTCTTTTTTAAAAAATTGAGGTGTGCCATTGCTCAAACTCAATCAATGTGTTTTTATATTTAAAAAAACATGTCTGGAAGTGTTCTTAGAACTATGATATGATACATGGGATAATGAATGTAGGAAATATTTGGAATGACTGATGTTGAAGAATAATTACAAATTTTTAAAAGGCACTTATTTCATGAAAAACATGCATTTATTTTACATAGGAAGTAATATTACTTAACTAAAATGTAATAAATGGTCTTCAGTCTTTGACCTCATATTTTTCCCTCACAAGAGCCCTGTGAAGTACGTTAGGCTGAGAGAGAAACTGTCCCAAGCTCACTCTGTGAATTTCATGGTGGAGAGAGGATTTGAACTGTGATCTCCCAGTTGCCCATCTGACACTAAGCCTCTACATCATACTGGTTCTCTGAATGTCATTCAGTTGTGTGAATGGCCTAGACTCTAGCTCAGGGTCACCAACATTTTTAGATTAGTGGACACATCTAAAAGTTTGAGAGAGTGCTGGGGGAATCAGCATGATATAACACAGAATTAGAGAGACAAGCATCCTCTGATAACCTTCTGGAATATGATCATGCATACACTTTTGAAATCATGTCATGTTTGTTAGAATGGGAATATGTGATTATGAAGAAATATGTAATGTTGATCTTTTTAATTGAAGTGCATTCAAAACTTACACTCACAACTTAATTACTTTTATAGTGACAATCAGTGCAAATGAAGCCCATAAAATCTCTGCTTCTTCCATGGCACCTTTATTTGCTGCTTTTGCAGAGCTTGCTAGTTTATTAGTACCGAATGTCTTATTTCTAGGACTTGCATACAGGCGTGACTATGAATAGCAGTGACCATGCTGAGTTGGTAGGTTGAAGGGTGTGTGGTCAATTTGAGCAAATATTGACACATTGGTGCAATCTCTTTCTTTTCACAATCTGTTTCCTTCATGTTCATTGTAGCAACTGAAGGATTATCAATTTTCTGTTACTAATAATGGATAACTAGTGAGTAACTAGTGTTCCTTGTTCAACAAAAGACCTAAGTTCAAGAAGCATAATTAATATTATCTGTGCAGTGTAAAGCCTCATGAACTTTGATATTCCATGCAACGCGAACTTTAGACTGTTTCTTCTTGATGGCCAGGAGCACATATACATCAAGAAAGGCACTCAGGCTATCAGGAATAACATGGAGAATGTAGGCCTTGATCTCCCAAGATCCCTTTCAGCTGTGATTCCATGAGTATGTGTGTGGATATATGTCCAGCTCTGAGGGTCTTCTGGTGGTTGCCTCACTGTGAGAAGTGAGGTTACAGGGAACCAGGCAGAGGGCCTTCTTGGTAGTGGCGCCTGCCCTGTGGAACGCCCTCCCATCAGATTTCAAGGAAATAAACAACTACAGTACCTGGCTTTTAGAAGACATCTGGAGGCAATCCTGTATTGGGAATTTTTTAATGTCGAATACTTTACAAACCCAGCCAGATAGGTGGCATATAAATATAATAATAACAACACTTTGCTTAACTGGTTAGGTGAATAGGGCATGTGAAGGCCAGTCCTCTGAGGTATCTGTGAGTGATTAGACAAGCCATAGACTGCAGCAGACTGGCTTTCAGGATGGTAGATGAGGAAGTAGATAGATATTCGGGGCTTGATAGGGTGGGGGTGAGTGACCCTCTCTTTGCTTTCCATTGGTTCTATGTTCACAGCTTAGCACAGTAAAGCACATTTGCAATCCTCTACTGTACACTGCTCAGAAGCCCTATTGGGTCCAGTCCTTTACTCTCCTGAGAGCGCACCCCATTGAGATCAATGAACATCGGGGCAGGCACTGCGGAGCAGCCTCAGCCACTGAACACGGCTTGGCCTGGAAGAAGGAGGACCCGTGAATGACGTTTTTGCAAAGACGCTCCTCTGCCCAGAAGAGACGCCAACTGCACGCAACTGACTGCCAGAAACCAACAAGGGAGACTAGAATCAGGCCCATTCATTCCCGCGCATGCGCGTTAACTGGACTCGCGTTGACTTTTTATTTTTTTTAAGGTCAAGAAAAATCTGGGTCGCTCTACGTCTCTGTCCTGTACGTCAGCACGCGTGCGTGCCCCACACCTTCATTTCGCGCCTGCGCGGTACCGGTTTCCTCTGACGAAGCTCTTCGGTACAGCAGTCTCCGCCGTCAGGTTATGGGCGGAGTGCGCATGCGTGGCGGCCCGGCAGCAGCAGCAGCAGCAACCGCCTTGGCCGAGTCTCTTTGCCACGTACGGCAGCGGCGGCAGCAGTGAGTGAGGAGGCGGGGAGCGGGTAGGGAGGGGTACAGGGTCGTGGGGCTGGCGGGCTGGCTGGCGCCGCAACCTCCATTTCGTGGAAGAAACGGAGCGAGTCGGGTGGGGGAGCCGCTGCCCCGGTTTGAATGGGAGAGGCCGAGCCGCTGCCCACCGGGGAAGGAGCGGGTAGCCGACCGGGGGGGGGCCCTTAGGGCGCCTGGATGAGGCCTAGGCCGCGCCCTTCCCCGTCCACTCGAGACAGGGAAGGCCACGCACTGGCTCAGCTGTTGCCACATCAGCCTCAATCAGCCCATGGGCCTTGAGTCCTGGTTCCTGCTCTCCCCTCCTTCCCCACATAATTCATTTTCTAGTTGGTGGGCGCTGCATTAGCCTACTGCAGCAAACAGCAGTGCCAAAGCAGTGTAGATTTAATTGTGTTGTAACGAGGTTTTGCTCCCCCCCCCAAAAAAAAACCCTTGGAAAAGATGCACTTCCCATTTCTGAGGAAAAAGTTCTTTCCCTGCCTCCCCCGCTTTCAATTTCTCCTTCCCTCTCCGCCCCACCAGGGCTGGAGAGCCTAAAATGGGAAGAGGTTAATTTGGGGTTTCTGATTCTTTGTCACTGAGGAAGGCTCTGCAGAATACACACAGCTCCCTTTATGTAAATGCTTCATCTTCTTTGTACACCTTCGAAGTTTGTTTGTTTGTTTGTTTGTTTGTTTCTTCCTCAAGCGGCCTCTTCGTACTTGGAGTCTTGGGAGGAGGAAAGTTGTTTATCCAAGGTCACCCAAGAGGCCGACAGGACAGTTGTCGTTATATCTGGCTTGCTGGACTCTTTAATTCTTCTACGTCTTTTACTCTAATTTGTATAATTAGAAGACGTGGAAATGTTCACGGTTCAGAATCTCAAAAGTTCGAGTACTGTTCATTTCGTTCATGCAAAGAAATTGTTATTAGCCCAGCGATGCAGCTTTTAAAAGTGCTCAGAGCTGCTGTCAGTATTTAGTTACTTGACATTCTGAGTCAGCTGGGGCGTGAGCCAGCAACTCTTCCTGTCATTGCTTTTTTGTCTTGTTTTACTCCTTCAGAGAAGTTGGGGTGTGATCAGGGCAAGTCATTGGGGTTGAAGAGATCTGTCACGGCTGATATAAGAGTGGTGGAAGGAAATCCTGTTCTTGCAAAACAGTTGCATTCATAAGCACATATACTTGGAGAAATTTATGACGAGACTTTTATTGTGTTTCTCTTACAGAATTAAGCTTTAATACTGTCCCAATTATTAGGTTTTGTTCTAGCAATAGTTGCTTCTACTGTATAGTACTTAAAAATATACCGGTGACCCATTACAATATTCAGCATACAACCAGTCATTTAATATTTGTGCAGTGCAATTGGTACATGTCTATTAGAAGTAAGCTTTGTTGAGTTCAATAGGACATGCTTCTAGATAAGATGATATAGGATTGAAACCTTAAATAGATATAGAGACACAACTGAGTTGCCTGCTTCTAAAGAAAATTTCTGCCATTGAAATTTCATAAACTGATACATAGCCAGCACTAGAAGCTCAGTTACTAAGATAGTTGGCAATCTCTTGTGATTACAAAGTTAATGATCCTTTAAAGGAATTACTTTTCTCAAATATCCTCTACGCTAATTTAATCTACTGCAACTAAAGTGCCAGTTTTTATTGCACCTTTAACAGCTAACAGGTTTACTTAATTTAAACTTTCATGAATTGGAGCCCACTTTTATCAGATGCATCTGAAATGGTATTTGTATTTAGGGATCTAAATACCAAAGGGTATTTAGGGAGTCATCTGCCAGGGATTCTTTAGCTGTGATTCCTGCATTGAAGGGAGTTGGAGTAGATGACCCCTTGGATCCTTTCCAACTACAGTGGTGCCTTGCAAGATGAAAAGAATTCGTTTCGCGATTCTCTTCGTCTATCGGTTTTTTCGTCTTGCGAAGCAACCCTATTAGCGGCTAAGCGGATTAGCGTTATTAGCGGTTTAGCGGCTTAGCGGCTATTAAAGGATTAGCGGCTAAGCTGCTAAAAGGCTATTAGCGGCTTAGAAAAAGGGGGGGGGAAGCGAGAGAAAAAAACGCAAGACTAGCAAGACGTTTCGTCTTGCGAAGCAAGCCCATAGGGAAAATCGTCTTGCGAAGCAACTCAGAAACTGAAAACCCTTTCGTCTAGCGGGTTTTCCGTCTTGCGAGGCATTCGTCTTGCGGGGCACCACTGTACAATTTTATGGTGTTATGAAATCAGTCTCTAGGTGGGTTGCAAACAGAAATATAAATCACAACAATATCAATTAATATCAATATCTTTTTAATGTATATCACAAACTGAAATTTTACTACAATAAAAAATACAATGTTTAAGTTAATAAAGTAACTCATAACAGCATAGCAAAAACATCTTCATAAGGGTTTGCTATAAGGAAAATCTGGTGGTTATAGTAATAAAAGATATTGCCAGCAACAGTTTAGCTAGTGAGCTACTAGTGATATGTAGGTGTATCATACTTCACAACTGAAATTATAG